GGGCTAATGTTGGACTTGTGGGCTTGGGTGGTACTGGGTTGGGATGTTTTCTTGATGTGAACTTACTCTTTGTATAAAATTCTCTCTTATACATATGAGTCTCTGTGGATTTTTTTTCCTAAGGTACCCAGATTAACACATCTACTAATATCCACACAACTAAAAAGCAGTATACAAATTCTCTGGGAATATGAAATTTGCAAATAAAAAATAATGAAGATCACTTAAAAGATATATGAGAGCCTGTAAAGAAAGTGGGGGTCAGTAGTTACCTAATAGAAGATGAGATGCCAACACAGAAAGCTAAAATGCTGAAAAAGAGATTCATGAAACAATCAATGAAATATTTACACATGTCAGTACTGAGAGGCTGAGAAGCAACTTGGGAGCTCTCAGAGTCACATATAATTATAGTTTTTCTACATATAGATGTCGATAAAAATATGATAGAAAATGAAGGTCCTAGACAAAGAGAACCAAGAATATTTTATAGAAATTATTCTGTGAAAAAAACTCTAAATAAGCAAAGTTATTTTTCCTCTTCCACAAAGACAAAATATACAAGGTACATCACTTAAAGAATCTCCTTCAATAATTCTTAGTTTCCTTTAAAGAAAGACTTTCATTATTTACATATTCAAGGAACTTACTTCGCAATCGAACTGAATATTCCTTATTCTCCTTGCTAAATATTTATATATGGAAATTTCAAAGAACTATAAATTTTCTACAGAAAATGGCAATATCAGTAATGTAACTAGTGGATTTTAGAAATACCAATGCTACAGATCTGGCTGGAAGAACCCCATTCTAATAAAACATTCATTTCCTACAACTAGACAATGTGATGACAGAGAACAGAGCAACTATGTGATTAAGCAACATCCTGCCTCTTGATGAAATCTACTGCTGAGTGTTCTCTAACATACTGAATTGAATTTTCTTAAAGTTAACTTTTCCAGGAAAAAGCAAGCCTCCACCTGGTTAAATAATGTATGGAGTTTTATTTAGTACTAAAAACTTATAATACAATAAAATGAAACTGCATAACTGATACCCTAGTTTGACTTTTTAATTAAATATTCACTAAAAGTGATTCAGCCTGGTTGTATAATGTTTACATTTTGGAATGCAAACTGCAAGGTTGGTAGTTCAAAACCTTTAGCCACACTGAAGGAGAAAGATGGGCCTTTTGACTCTCATGAAGAGTTACAGTCTCAAAAACTCACAAGGGTAGTTCTACTTTGTCCTAATAGGGTCACTGTGAGTAGGCAAACACTCCGGCAGTGAGGTAACTGTTATTTTATTATAAGAAAAATACCATTGTATCTCCTCTTGAGAACGTCCAGTATTATGACTATAGTATATGTCAGTAAAGTTAAAAAAAAAAACTTTCCTTAGTTACATGCTTTATTTAAAGTCATCTCTGGCAATAATACACTGAAGAACAGAGAACACAGGTCCTATTCTAAGCAGTACCAACAATCAGAAAGAATCACAGTGAAGCTTTTCTGATTATACATTGCTCAAGAAAGAGGAGAATTTATAGAATCTTAGAACTGGGTACTTTCCATGGTTGTTTTGTACTTATTATTTTAAGAAAGAATATTTTAAAAGCAACTGCCATTGTAATATTAGCAACCAAAGGCCTTTTGCTCTCTAATATAGGTTTAAGCACATGTGCTCTATAACTTAAAGAACAGGCTCCTTCCTTGCAAGTCTGTTTCGGTTTTTTTTTTCCAGCTTAATTGATTTAAAAATATAATATGTATAACTATTTGAGTAGTTGTACAAAACTACTCAAACATTTATTAAGTAAACATTGTAGTACTGCTGTAAAAACGAAAAACAAACTCTTGATGACCAACTCCAGATTATCTTTGGATATGATATAATTTGCTACGGGTTTTTATTATATACATTTGTCCTAACACAAATAAACTTGTATTACCCACTTACTATTTAATCAATAATTGTTGATCCATGTATAGTGGGCATAGTTGGCCAATTGGGATGAGAATGGGGAAAGGAGAGATACACTTATTCTACTTTCTAAGCCTCCCTGGGTAATCCTAGCTACATCAATATATTTGAATGATTACATAAGCATTCTTTCTTTTTTCTTTTCTTTTATTTTTTTTTCTAAGAGATGAAGGTTTATT